AAAGGCTTTTTCACTCATCCAGGCGGGAGAGAGATTCTGAGCATCTCCCTGTTTAGTGGCTTAGTCTTTCCTCAAGTACAGTTGGTGACTCAGGGCAGCTGGACTAATTTCAGGGCTCCAAAGTGGAGCTAGGCATAAGCTGAATCTTTTTTAGGATTTAGCCTTGGTAAACAGTGTCGCTTCCACTAATCTTGATCACAACATCAGAAGTCCCAGAAGACCAAATCCCAGCTTCAGGGAAAAGGGATGCAGACACCACATCTCGCAGGGAGGAATATCACTGTAAGAAGAGCCCATGGGATTGGATATATATGTGTGCTGAGCCAACCCAAAGGAGGACTGCATCTGAAAACCAGGGAGTGCAGTTCAGCCAGCCTTCACTATGAGGCACTTCTGCTGATCTCAGGATTCAAGTTTTATTTGTGGGTATTGGTATAAAGTATGCTGTGTTCAAGCTGTACCTGTAATACCTGTAGTTAGATATTTCAGAGTTTCTAAGAGAACCATTTCATCCTCAAAATTCAAATAAAATAACCTACTTAAAATGTGTATTCCCATAATTTAAAATTTCTTTATATTGAAAACAAAGATCCTAATAAGGACATTTTAATAACTAGGTTTTTACATTTGGTATAGTAACTTGTAAATTCCATAAAGTAGAGCCCAGTAGGATGAATATATATATATGCCATTAGTACTTTAGCTGAATTATGTCATAATGCCTAGGACAAGATAGTATTGTTTAGTAGCTTCCAGAGGAATCACATATGATTCAAATAGTTTTGAAGAGCAATTAAAGCCTGGCCCTGGCTGGGTAGCTCCATTGGTTAGAGCATCAATCCAATATACCAAGGTTTTAAGTTCAATCTCCAGCCAGGGAACATAAAAGAAGCAACCAATGAATGTGTAAATAAGTGGAACAACAAATCGATGTTTCTCTAAAAATGAAATTTAAACAGAAGGCATGAGTTTTGCTAAATTAAGCATACCTAGTGACATTTAAAGTAAAATTGAACAGAAAAAGTAACAGCTTAAACAAATCCCCATTTTGTGAAGGATGAGTGAAATGTTTTGACCATATTGTAAAATGAGTTTAACGTTTCTGAAACACTTTTTGGGATAGAAGTATTCATATGTTCATGAAGTTTGGTTACATGGCAGTCTTGCTGCTAAATGAGAGTTACACACTTTCTGTAGCTTAAGATTATATAATTGTTCATACAATGTTTATTTATGAGATAAATCACAAAATTGTTAAAAATTTCAGATACCACGTGGAGCGAACTAATTCCAAATTTCAAGGAATCTATAGCTCAGTTAAATGCTGTGTCTCTCCTCATATATCAGGTGATAATGTACTACCTTAAAGTCAGCTCCTCCTAACAGCTCTTACCTCAGATATTGAATCATTTATCTCTAAAAGGCAGCACTGACTTCACATTCTTAGCAATGGTCATAGGAGTCCTTGAGATGTTAACTTCACCACTGGTATAGTTTATGAATCTCTCAGTTATTACAAATGTGACCTGAGTTTCCTAGCAACAATTTTAAAGTTTTCGTGTGTTTTTATAGACTCTAAAGTGCCATGCTTGCACCTTAATAAACGCTGGCTGGAATGAACACCTAGGGGATGTGTCTCCAGAAGACACTGTAATTCTTATCTACTACTGTGATTTGGCGTACAAGTCTGCTGGCTGGCTTTGTGGAATGTGGTGTACGCAGGATTCGAAGATGGGGGATAATTCATGTGAGGGGCAATACGTTATTTCAAGACCCCTGAGTCAACCCCAGATGGCTATACTAACCAGGTTAAAACTACTGAGACATCAACATCTGAAAAAATGGTGTGCCCCACTTTTCCTTATGAATAAACAATGCTTTACTGATTTTATTGACTGGACAGTTGGTTAGACTTTAAATGACATTAGTGCAGGGAAATTTCATAGCTGAAGATGACTCATAAGAGATCATATTTATTTATTGAAATAAATAATTTTACATTTTCTACTGTTAGGAAACAAAGTTTTTTGTACTGTATTTGCCACAGAAGCTATCTGACTTGAGGAAAAAATAATGACCATGAGCTTGGTGACATCCCAGATTTTAGGGTTCCTTCTCAGCATGGCTACCAGATTACTGACAGATTTGTAAAGCATTATTTCAATAATACGTAGAACTAGGGCCAAATAAGATGAGTGCCTCATTTATTTGTTACTGATAGAAACAAATACTCTTCATAAATGAATTTTCAAATAAACATGTTTGTATTTTTAAGTGCTGAAATTTGTCTTTTTTCATGTCTAAAATGCATTATTGTGTCTTATGAAGATGATTACATGGAACATAATTTACAGTTCATTTGGTATCATCATTATGAACAAATACTGCTTAGACGGACCACAGTGATGATACCCCTTTGTGATACAGAGCTGTTTACAAAAGAACAGTCCCCTACTACATAACTTTTTATATTATTTGATGGCTTTGTTCTTTGTTAAATGTGCCAGGCACTTTAGGTATGCTAATGCTAATATTCACAGCAGCCCTGTAAGGTAGTTGTTATTATTATTATTATTATTATTATTATTATTAACAGATGAAGAAATTAATGTTCACAGACACTAAATTTCTCTGAGGCCACAGAACTAAGTGGTGGTAGAGCCAGGATTGGGACCCAGTATCTCTGATTTCAAGGTCCTTTGCTGTTTCTACTATGTTACAACAGTTACACATCAAACAGTCTTCAACATGCCTGACTTTTCCACTCTAATTATGGAAAATCTATCAAAAAATTATTATTGTTTGGAACAAGAGAACTTAAATACCCCAAACGCTAAGAAACTCAATCTAGTTTCAGACATCCCTGAAACCATCTGAAAATATGATGTACACCCAGTGCTTAAATAAAATGTAAGCAGTACAATTGTGAGGGAAACTTCAAGTGGAACAGCAGTTCAGGAAAAGAAGACAATAATATGGAATCAAAGCAGCAGAAAGTTAAGTTTCTTTGGGCTCAATTTGGAATTATGTGAATCAATTTTAATACTAATTATAGAGCTAATATGTAATCCGGGACTTAATCTTTTAAAAAATATGTTCATAGAAAAACTTGCAAGGACATATACTAAAAAATGAATAGTGTTGCCTGTCTGTTGTGGCTCAGTTGGCTGAGTGTTGTCCCATGCACCAAGAAGTCAGTTTGATTCCTGGTAGGAGCATACGCCCAGGTTGCAGCCTCAATCCCCAGTAGGGGGTGTGCAGGAGGTAGCCGATCAATGTTTCTCATAAATGTTTTTCTCCCTCTCCCTCTCCCTCTCCCTCTCCCTCTCCCTCTCCCTCTCCCTCTCCC